TGTAATGTAGCTTACGACATTATAAGCTGGTATTGGGGAGTGAGAAGGTGAAAAAGTGAAAGGACACAAGAGAAAATTCACGTTTTATGTTTGTTTGTTTTTTTTTATTATTTAGTTTATTTTTCTGATTTCTATTACAAAAGTGGTGATGTAATAAAGCGATTATTAATGAAGCAAAATAAAGCTTGGCACAAAGTGTGTTAGTATGCATCCGTAGCTGTTCTACAGAGATTATCGCTATCGCTCTAGTCGAACTTTCAAATTTGTGTAGAATAGCACGAATGAGCACTAACATATACATAATTTATTCTAACACGACCCGTATTTTCCCAACAAAGAAGAACCGAAAGTGTGTGTTTTTATGTATATTAACTCGACCCGCATTGTCCCCTATTGAACATACAGGATTCTACGGTGTGTTATTATGCAGTATAATCACAGTTTGGCATTCTTTATTAAGACATGTGACGTTATCATTATACACGTGACGTAACCACTAAAATATGACGCACTGAAGTATGAAAACAAATCAGGCGCAATGTAAGGTAATATCAGTTACGGCTTATTGATGTCGTGTTAGAACCAAGATAATATTTTTTATTACCCCTCACTTTTTTCGTAATGCTAATTTCCCATCGGCCTCTGGGAGTTATTTTTACTGTTAATGCAAGTGTACCACGTGACTAAGAATTTTGTACTGTTACATAGGTAACAGTATTTTTTTAACAGGCTACGCCTCGAGTAACAGTATTTTCCTCGGGATGATATTTTTACTGTTACCCATAAACCCATGTGTTATTTATATACTAATCGGTGACTTTATTGTTTGATAAAATCACTGCTTGTCGTAAGGATGCGCAACATTTTATCACTCGGGTTACGCTCTCGTGATATACTTCCTCGCATCCGAACTCCAAACAGTGATTTTATTGAGCGATAAAATCACTGTTTGGGATATATTTTATTTCTTAAATAAAGTCATTGTTTGACCTTCTATATTAAGACATGTGACGTAATCATTATACACGTGACGTAAGCACTTAAAATGTAACGCGCTGAAAATAAAGTAAGGAAACAAATAAGCCGTAATTAGGCTAAATATCAGGTACGGTAGCATTTACATGTGATGATATCGAGTTAGAATCGAAATAGTATATACAAATCGGTGTCGTTCGGATGCGCATCATTATATTGCCCGAGCTATTCCCTCGTGATATAATTCCTCGCATCCGAACTCCAAACAATGATTTTATTAATTAAATCACTGTTTGGGAGATTGGAATATATCATTCCTTAAATAACGTATTGTAAAACTTGAATGTGTAGTTGCTTACTGGCATTTATAGGGTAAGTAGATGATTACAAAACGGATTATGGTTTTTGTCCTGTTTGAAACGCAGTGACACACATGTTTGTTTTTACAATCGATGTTTATAACGGTGTGTTAGAATAATAATGATAGTTAATTCTCGATGGTATTTTACTATTTATGGGAACTCACTTTGTACAAAGGTGAAATATTGCCACAAAGTTTATACTGACGATGATTGTATTTGAAAATCGTAAATATTTTACATTAAAGCTTCACTTACCATCGTTGACTGGAGGTGCTAGGGGAGATTCGATGCAATGCCCTGATTTACACATCTAAAGATAAATGCACAGAGTCAATATATTTCTGAGTGATGCAATTATTTTAATTGATAAATGATGATTACTTATTATGGCATAATTACAATTTAAGATTAAGCAATTTAAGAAAAGAGAAGCTTGTTTAGCATTATATTATTTTTAATCTTTAAGATTAATCCTACCTTGCCATGTCCACATGTGGTACCATACCATGGAATAGTGTTCCTCAATCTATCGGGCATGTCTGTTCTCTGGCAAACCATTTTGCTACATATTGTTGAATAATCACTGTTGTAGCTGGTCTATAATTAAAACAAGACAAGAGTTTCAATCAACTTTAATGTTCATAGATAACGCCATGTGTAGTGAAAAAAATGATAATTCCTTTTTATTGTCACCATATCATTACCAATTAAGCTTAAAGAGAAATAAATTCCGTATTTACACTAATTATGGCAGTACATTAATAACCAAATTGTCATAAAAAGATATATACACCTAAGAAGTTTTAAGAGTAGTTCAGGTGGTTTTCTATTGAGCGAAAACACAAGTTTTCTTCAAAGCCATTGTGACGCTGACATTAAAATAGTACCAAAGCCCATTAACGGAATATTTCTGTTACTTGATTTAATGTGGATGCCAATTATATGAAGTTTATAGGCCAATGGCCGATTATTTGCTTGTTATGATTTAGAAGAAATAGTTTTCCCTGAACCGTGCTGGACCATGACCGTTGAATATATGGGTCTGTTTTACTAATTGATTGCAAATCACATTTAAAAGCCGTTTGGGGTAAAATAGTCATGTACTTCCTTTGTACATAACACGGTTCTTGATATAGTGTAAATATTATTTGAGCTTTGACATTATACGCAATGTCATAAGTCACTTAAACTCAGTGAACAATATAATCGTTATAAAAACTTTCAATGCTGTTGAAATGCTATATTCTTGTTATTGGACGAAAAATACTCTATACATCCTTTGGCAGTTTAAAAGTTTTAGGCAAAAACGTTGTCTCAGTTTTTTGTTTGTTTACTTTTTAGCGGAAAGCATTAACGTTAAAATTCCAGTTCATCTTCTATATAACCCTGACCTTCGAACAGACAGATCGAGCAAAGACGCTGGTATACATAGTAATAATTATAGGGAGATAGTTCATCTCACAAAAATATGTTGGCTTTTGTTTCTCTATTTCTGGAACGAGAAACGGCTGACATTTGACCTCCTGAAAGCAGAGCTCTTCGTAACGAACCTCATTATTTCACAAAAACGAAATTCGTTCATGTGAAAAATTCGCTCGAATTCCTCACACGTGTGTGACAAGTTCGTACAAATTTGCACAAAAAAGGTGCTGTGAAATTCTCAAGCCCTATTTTTTAAACATCTAAGTATAAACGAATTTTTCACAGAAAACCACTAGCCCCTCACCGCTGTGGGTTCGAATCCCGAAAGGGACTTTGGATTCTTTCATGTGAGGAAGCTATCCAGCTAACGTACGGAACGTCGGTGGTTCTACTCAGGTGCCCGTTCGTGCCTGAAATAATGCACCGAAGGGCACCTGATGTCTTCCTCCACCAGTAAAGCTGGAACGTCGCGATATGATCTATACTGTGTCGACTTGACGTAAAACCCAAAACAAACAAACAAACACAGAAAATATGAGACGTATCGGTACGGTATTTTTCACACAATGCATATGTTGAGGTTTTTAGTAAAAGGAGAGGCTAAAATTTGAATTGTCCGGCTATAAATTCTAAATATCATCAAAACGGCCACGAACAGTAAAGTGAAGGAATTCAATCCCACACCCCTACCACACCTCACCCCATCCACCTTATAGACAACATGACAAGATATTAGGAAGAAGTAATGTTATGTCGACAAGAATTATAATGTGATGCTCATGCACAGACTGTTAGCAAAAAGTAGTCAAAGACGCGCATATTTTATCCACAACAGGACGGTAATATGTCGCGTTAATATGTGTCGTATTGCCGACATATAAACTAACAGAACCATGGCATCTATCAGGCTCGATTTAAGTTTCAATTATGTACTAACATACCCGGTAGAAGTCATCAAGAGTTTACACTTAAAGACGACATGTTACCCCGAAGGATGACATTACGACTACCAGTAAGTGTCCATATTAACGACAACTTGACCTTCCATGTTAGGTCATTGTAAGGTCATGGTCAATTGATATATGTCGCAACGTCGTTTTTAACTAAATCCATTCGTTTTTACGGAAGTTGTAGCCAATATTAAAGTTTTCAGACTGAAAGTCAGGGAAGGACGGATGGAGGGCAATTTGGGAAATTCAATTTTATATGCCCTTCTTTTTGGGATATAAATGTGTTATTCTCTAAAAATATTTAAGAAATGCGTTCAGAAATAAGAAAACAAGCAAAATCGTCAACCGACGAATGCTAGTTATAATTATTATTAACATCAGCAACCACAGTTCCTATAACGTTTCCTTAAAATCCAGTCAGCAGTTGCCGAGAAGTAGCGCAAACATTTACAGAACCTTAATAATTCAGGGACGATAACTCTGTTTTAAAAGGTCCGACAATATCCCCTTCTAATTTTAATAGGCGGTGGATAATAATATGACATACTTTAAAGTTTTCACATCTTCAAGATTCCAGGCCAGCCAGAGGTCAAGCTCACACATAGGTCGGAATAATTGAACGTCTTGAACGAAAGATTATTGTGTATAAATTTGATAGAAATCCATCAAGTTAACAAATATTACGAGTTTAGAACCTGACCTTTGATATACTTAATTAAATGTCTTGTAAAAGGGGCTATTGTTTCTAAATATTAAAGAAATCCATTCATTAATGAGGATAAAATATTTATCAAGATATTGAATGAAACAGAATTTTATATTTATGACCATTTATGACATTTCCCTCGGTCTATGTGCCCCTAATACCATACACATTAAAAACATATGGTGTATTAGTAACAAATGAAAACTCAAAACTTCAATTTACCCGCTGTGATTAACTAATCGAAACTTTGCAAGTCTTCTCTTCTTAACATGTCCTGTCGTTCTGTATTGGGGTATTGGTAAAATCAAAGTGCTGAAAGCACTGATGGGGGCGCAATATGTTGCAAATCTACTTCAGGTGTTTCAAGCTGATATATTTCCTACTTTCAAAGTAGAATAAGTGCCCATTTTGTATATAATATAAATATATATATAATTATATAAACATATGACATTGGAATTTGTTGGGAAACTATAGTTGTTTCAAGTTATCTATTTTTTTTCTTTTAACCAATTTTCATGTAAAGGAATTCCTTATGTGAGTATATAACACATAAATCAGTGTACTTACTATATTTATTCCAAGAAATGATTATGCATATAGAAAATAAACAGAAAATTTAACTGTCTATAAATTATTTCTAAAATAAAACTAGGACTGTCAGAACAAACTTTTTTTGTAGAAACCAACAAGCACAATACACTAAACATGTGACAATGTAAAATGGAATGGATACATATAATGTAGTTGGCATTGAAAACAAGAGCCACTATCTAGCTTGGGTCATGCTCGGCTCGAGTACTCCTAGAAAACATAACAAAAATGTATAAAGTAAATTTGAGTTTGACTGTCAACACATTTAAGTAAAGGTCATAGTTGAATGATAAGTTTTCTTTTGTCCAAGAATTAAACAAATCATAGATAAAAACAAAGTTATGACAATGTGAGCGAATTTCACTTGTTTTAACTTTGGAGGTAATAGTCATTTAAAGGTAAAAGTTATATCAGAAAAATTTAACATGTTGCTTTGTGTTTGTGTTTGTGTGCCCAAGCATGAATCAAATCTCTAAAAAATAACAAAGTAATGACAATTCAAGCTAACTCCAAAGATTTTTTTTTATCAAATAGAGGTCACAAAACATGTGTTCTGATCACTCCTTTGAATTTTGGCGGTTTGACATGTGATAGATTTTTCTATTTTTATCTCTGGGGCTATTTTGTGCAGTGAAACAAAATATGCCGGCAATGTGCACAACTAGGGATGGCACTATTCACTCCTGGGAAGTTTCATTGAAATCTTACCAGCAGTTGTGAAAGCCGAACAAGATTTTTCTTTTTAAAGCTCTCACAGCCATTTTGTGCAGCGAAGTTAAACGTGATGCCGATGTGCACAACAAAGGCTTGTATTAAGTTTGGTTGAAATCCCACCAGTAGTTTGACCTGTGACAAGATTTTTTCTATTTTAAGCTGTTGTGGCCATTTTGTGAAGTGAAACGGAACTTGCAGGCAATGTGCACAACAAGGGATGGAACTGATCACTTCTGTAAAGTTTAATTGAAATCCCACCAGTAGTTTGACCTGTAAATCCAACAAGATTTTTCTACTTCTAGATCTTGCAGCCATTTTTTGCTGCAGAGCGTCACATGCCGGCGATGTACACAACGTTCATAACTAGGGATGGTACTGATCAATACTGTAAAATTTGGTTGAAATCTCGCCAGTAACTTGACCTTTGAAAGTCGATATGATTTTTCTATTTTTAGCTTTGGTGGTCATTTTGTGCAGCGAAGTGGAATTTGCCGAAGATGTGTATACCTAGGGATGGTACTCATCAATCCTGTAAAGTTTGGTTAAAATCCCACCGGAAGTTTGACATGTGAAGGCCGGACAAGATTTTTTTAATTTTAGCTTGGTAGCCATTTTGAGCAGCAAATCGGAACTTGCCGGTAATGCGCATAACTACGGATGGAATTGATCACTCCTGTACAGTTTAGTTGAAGTTCCACCAGTAGTTAAACCTGTGAAGTTCGGATAAGCTTAATGCAGACGACTTGACGGAAGGTCAGATGGTGAAGGCAAAAACAATAGTATGTCCCTAATTAAATTCAAGGTCAAGTTCCATTTAATCTTTTGGGATGTCTTGTTAGAAGGATAGTCTGTGACAGAGTGGTCAAGGTTGTTCACTCCAGCAGTCATGCTGGACAGTAACCATATTATGACATTTACAGTGCTGATGCAATGTATAATCAAAGCAAAACAATAGCAAATTATAGCTAAAAACTGTGAAATTCAATAATTTTATCATCAAGTACATTAAAGTCAATGTCATATTGTGTTTGATTCTCTTTTATGTCTTAGTTTTCAAGTTTGAAGAAAATAAAAATTCAAAATCAAAATTCATACATTTGATCTCGTCGTCAATATAATTCATGAATCAAGGTCAACTTCATTCGGTCTTCTTGATTATCTTGTCCAAAAAATGGTTGTGTCCAAGAAAAGTCTTTTGAAAAATTAAGCTAAGTTTAAAGTTTCTGGTAAGCAACATGTGCAGGAACAGCAACTTGACTGTAGCAATAGCTCGAAATTCATTGTTTAGCTAAACACATGCCCTTATTCATATCAGCTGCCTTAAAATCTACTGAATATGTTTCACCATTTCCAACAAAATTTGTTTTAAATGAAACATGCAGAAGTGTTATTATAATAAACTATGCAACTAGTGATTATCATACTAATGAATATACTAACAATTATCAATAAGCGTGTAACACAATTTGCCAAAATTTTCATCAGAGCTACATGAATAACAGATTTTTAAAATATCAATAGGCATTCATAGAAAATTCTCATATCATATTTGGTACATTTATGGGCAATTATAATTTTTTTAAATGAATAAAATATAAATGAAACTTCTTGTGGAATTTGCAAAAGAGTCAAACTTATGCCCTTTCAATTTTAAGGGTTGTTTTTGCTTAACATCATAATTTCTATGCAGTTTTAGTCCTATCATTTTTAGATAAATCTTCTATCGGATGGACAAGCCTAACAAAGATTTAACAAAATATTCCATATTTTTCAACTCAAAGCTTCTTTTTCAAACAGTAAAAAAAACTAAAATTGTGATCAAATAACTATTTCTCTATGAAACAATTACTTTTAGAATTAATTGTTCAATGCCTTCAGATATGCCATAAGAAATCAAACTTGTTAAAACAGATATTAAGAAAAGTTAAAAGTCCAAGAAATACCTTACATTATGTGCCATTTATGACTGATTTTGCAATATTCAAATGATCCCCATATATCTAAAGTGTGACTCTTCCCGGGATATTTTTGCATATTTTGGCACCTTTTTGGTAAATTATATGGATTGTGTCATTAGCAATATGTTCAATAGTCATTACTTTCTTTGTTTACTTCACAATATTTTATTTTGATATACATTTTCAAAATTTTCATGAAAAATAGCAATAAAGTGGAGGCATGCTGCTTCAAAATAAAAAAAAAACAAAGCTAAAAAAAACAACACTATTATATATAACATACTTGAGTATATTTATAGGCAAGAAAATCTACAAACAGCAATGAACTGAGAGTTATGGTATCAAACCCTAGGCCAGTGGGGACATTTTTTCTTTAAGTTTAAACCTTACTTTTGTACTCTTATATTAGTTAAAGATATAAAAACATTATCAATTTTAATCCTATTCTTATTATAGTATTCATTGGATTCATTATTCCAAATTAAATGAAAGTGCATGGGATATAATATTTTCAAGATCTAGTAAAATCAAAATGTTTTTAAAAACATACTTATTGATAATCAAGTAGAATTAAAACTATATAATAAATATAATAATAAATACACTATAAAGTACATTATAACAATACGTGTATTTTGGATAATACACTCTAAGCTGAAATATTTAAATGGGTATGGTACTATAAATGTTTGTAAATATTGTAAGTTATCTAATCAATAAGTGTTCTTAATAAAAGAAACTTGCACCTTGATATTTTTTTGTACAAACAAATTTTAAACATTGATAAGTTACTTCAGGTGATGAACTGGTGCCTCTATATACAAATGTGGTTCTGTTCATAGGTTATCTCATGTTCTTTGTGATAAACTCTCACATTAAAGTTGAAAAAGTTCTGTTCATACATATTTCAAAAATAGATAAGTGATAATATTTTCCTGGTGAAAAACTGGTGGCTCATTAAAGTTCTATACATATTATGATATTTCAAATATTGGAAAGTTATCTAATGTTCTTCGTGAAAGACTGGTGACTAGTTTTCTCCTCAATGTCATTTCTTTTACTAATTAAGTCAGGGTACTATATTCATGAGGCTTTCGACATCACATCTGAAACTCACTATCCAACATTGCAAAGGGCAGGCCAATTTCTTTTAAGTTTTGAAAAACCCAAATATTTCAATTTCCCTGGTGTTTCCGACATAAAGACATATCCACATGTAACTTCTATTATCACTCCTGCTTTTACTGTTCTATCATACAAGCGCCTCTGTTTCCTGAAATATTTGTTTATAAAAAGTTAATTGCAAAATTAAAATTTCATTATTTTGTTTTTTTTAGGGAAGGGGGGGGGGAGAAAGAGGACGGGGGCAATTTAAAGCACAGGTTATATGCCCAATTTCCATCTTTACTGGTTGAGGAAGACCTTAGTGCACCTATGTGTATGATTTCAGGCACTAACCAGCACCTTGGTACCATCAATTTTCCATAAATGAGCTGGATAGCTTTCTCACATGAAAGAATCCGTAAACCCTGGCAGAGCTCGAACCTTAAGATGATCAAATATGTCAGATATTTAAGAGTGCTTACTGTGAATATTCAATATTGTTTGTGAATTGTCTTGAGGTGAAAAGGAAAGGAAAGCTGAATTCCTAAATACATGTTACATGTCACAATTGTTCTTGCTACCTACTTTTGTTCCTAATTTCTAGTATAAGATGATATTTAAATACACTGTAATTCTTCTTTATAAATTTGGCTTTTTGTGACAATAGTCTATCCAGCGACAGAAGCTCACTGACTTAAAATAAACTTTCCTGTGTCGGCCTTTTAACAAGTCAAGAAGAAAAAAGCTATTAGAATATAATAATTAAGAAATATCTTATACAAATACTTCTTAATAATCATGTACCTCTTCCTTAAATGTCCATGCTATTGAAAGAAACATTTTTCCATTTATTCACTTCAAGGTTAGTTAGATTGACAGTCTCATCTTTAAGCCTGTATCTCTCTTGATTCTATCCTCATTGACGCTTTAAATCGATATCCTGCCATTGACATTCACAAATCTGACATGTAGGCCTACCTTCTGATTCACAAGAAAGTTGGAAAGATAGAATATTATTATTATTAGATATACATATAGTATCCAAATAATTATGTTAGTTCCTATCAAATCAGTAATTTAAACTATTAAAGAAACAATTTGTTCAAAATTGTCCAAGCAGAAAAATTTCTATAGTATACTATAGTGATTATAGTGTATATACAGTATCAATTAAATGTCTTTACAATCTACTATACTGTCCTGAAATTTTAAGAAATTTTAAAATCCATTGCCTCAGAAGTTGCAATACCAAGTAAATGAAATTGTGCTGGGTTTGTATCATTCTGCACAACTTCTGATCACAAAAGCTTCAAGGACATTTATGAGTGAGTCAGGTCCTATCCTGAAAGACTGTTGTGTTCAAGTTTGAGGACAATCCTAGCAAAAAAAAACAAGAAAATATTAGACATTTCACCTTGAATGTTAATATGAAGGTCAAGTTTACTAGTATAGTCCAGTCTACTTGAAGGGTTGTTGTCGCCAAGTATGAAGACAATACACCAAGATCTGAAAAAGTTATGAACAAGGTTAAAGTTTGTTGTCAGCAACGCGAAAGCCGTCATGACTGTAACAATATATTTTGGCCTAAAATGCAAACCGAAAGTTCTAGCCTATACATACTGTTGAGGCTAGCCATTTTTTCAATCATAAATAGATGCAATGATAAAGTCAGTAACTTGCAAATCTTCTAACATTTTTACAAAGAATTAACATAATTAATTTTTTTTATTTCTATGATGATGTTCAGCCATTTATATTATAACAAGATTTCGGAAAGATCTATCGAAATAAATTGGCCCGTGGACTTTAATGCCAATTATAGAGCTCTTATGCAAAATGTAATGGAAAGCAAACATCCAGCATGAAATTGTCAAGTAGCTAAAAGTTAAATAAAATTATTATTAAGGTATTAGGACCCTAATGGGCACTATCAGGAACTAAAAAATTGACATCATAAGTCAGATGTATACCTTAAAGTACACATGTATGCAAAATCTAAACAAAGTTTACCGTACAGAAATCAAGTTATGGCCACTTTTCTGAACTCAAGCTAGGATGTTATGAGGGCCCTTTTTTAGAAAGTAGGAACCTTTAAATAATCTGCAATAATATTCTAATGAAAAATGTTTTCCCATTAATTTTTGGTAAGAAACAAATAGTACCATTCAGCTAACAATCCAAATAAGCAAAATTATGGTTTCTACTTAAAATTTATGAAATCTGTATAAAAATGTTACCCTACCCCACCCATTTTTACCACGTGTCTGACCATTTTTCTACTTAGGGAGCCTAATTTAACAAATTCTTAAAATTTACCCAAATGAGTGCCTGTTTTTTAATGTTTCCCTAATTTTTTAAAAAAAGTATATTGGTTGATCTTGTAAAATATGAAATACTTTTACCGTCTAGTTTTGATTATATTACACTTTGAAAATATCAGGTACCATATTTATTATTAGATTTAGCATAATTTAGCCAATAAATACCTATATAAATTAAAAAATCAAAATTAAACACTTTTTTCTTTCCAAATGGGACATGAGAGATACATAAATAATGTTAAAAGAAAAAAAGAAAGAAAAAAAAGTTGACCCTTTTGGGGATTGAACCCATGGCCCTCATTTTCAATGTAGTTAACAGTAGTTCTTGCCTATTTGATTACTTTTCAAAGCGGAGGTAATGCATTAGGTTTCATAATTCAACCACTGCTGGAAATTGACCCGCATGTTTGATTACAAATGTATTACATCTATATTGTCCATAGAAATAATAAATTAATTTTCAGTCTATTTCGCTTTGCGCTTTCACACAGACTAAAATTATTCAAGTCCATGATTTTTATAAGGAATAAATATCTTCCTATCATCAAACACTAAAAATTAATATACCAACTGTAAATTGTATATGATATTCAATATAATCTTCTTTTAGAAACAAGTTTGCATATTATTGTTTTAGGCAACTCATTTTTAAAATGCTGTACGGCTAGCCTCAACAGTGAGTATATTCTAGTCGTATGTGACTCGCGTACAGCCAGCACTTTTGTCAAACAATACTGGTTCATATTGCTAGCCACTGCCATTGTAAAGTATTCCTTCCTCTACCAATAGCAGACTTCCATCAATATTAAAAACTTTTGAATACTTTTAATTTAATTATCATATAGAATAATGTTAAACAATAAAAGTAATGATGACTTAATATGATGTATATAAAATTCTGCTGCTAAAGATAAGTTGTTTTTATTGATTGTTTATATCAACAAAGGTAATAAGTTAAGTTTCATCAGTGTATTATGACTTTTTAAATTTTTGTTTAGAGTGAAAATTGATAGTCATCAAATTGTTCTAAATATTACCATACTGTTATATTTAATGATATACTCAGTATTATTATTATTGACCTGTGTTTTTTTATAATTTAATACAACTACTATTTTCATATAAATGTCTTTGAATTTACAAATAAAAAATCTATAAAGTTATGGACTGACCATAAATATCATGAAATCCTACATCTGATGAAGGCAAAACTGTGGAAATCAGATCTACATGAATGAAATAAGTAGATCTGAACTTCAGTCATATTGTATAACAATTATAATTATTACCAGTCCTTTAACATTTTGGGATGAGTTAGACAAGGGCCGAGTTGAATCGGATTTCTTTCACACGATTTTATGCATTTTAATCACTAAAGGGAAAAACAAAGGGATGAAGTAATTGTTACACCAGATTGCAATTATTTTTCAAAGTATAGTGAAATATAAACAATGAATATCATACAGTCGTAGTCAACAGTGAACAAAATTTCGCAATGTTTACCTGCTTACCTTGTCATCATGGTGATAATGGCAGAGATTTTTTGGGCTTTTTTTACAGCCGTTTTTGGGTCATATTCCGAATTGAAAATAGTATATTATTTTCACAATTCACAGGAAAAAATTCCCAATTGAAATTAAATAATAAAAATATAGAATGAAAATTTTAAAATCTTTGCAAATAAGGGTTTCTTCACTTTAATAGTGCTTAAATGTTTGAAGATGTCATCCTAGACAGTATTTGTTTGCATCCGTTAAATCACTGCAAAATTTCAGTCATGCAATTTTTCCCAATTTTTTACAAAACACTGCTGAAAATCCCAATTCCATGGGTATAGGTCGTGTTCCCAAAATCCTGGAAAAAATTCCTGTATACGGGAAAATTACGTACATGAGAAAATAGTATGTATTCATATTTCATATGCATACAAAGTTCTTACAATATATTTGCACTTTTGAAGCATTTAAAAGCTTATCTGGTTGGAAAAAAAAACATAGTGCAATATTTTGTTAGTTGTAGCGTTCTATGATAGTAAGTTCACATATGACTTAATAATGTTGGTTCTATATTATGCACATTCTTTGACTCTCATAGGACAGGATTTAACTCATTACAGGACGGGGGCATTACCTCCAGTAGCTTGCAAAAATCATGATCACAAAATAGAAAAATATCAATTTTGCCAATTATTACATTTTTCCTGTATACCATGGCAAGTTTTGGACCTATTTTGTCCAGCTTAGATACCTAATAGAGATGTGTTCAAAAGGTAGTTAAGCACCCCCAAAAATGTTATATTAATTTAAAAAAATATCTTTCCACGTTTCTGAGTTAATCCAGATATTAATTTTGTGGTTTCAACAATAAAGAGTGATAAAACAAACCAATATATTACTAGTAATATATTGAAAAGTGGACCAAGTTGGAGAATAGCCGAGCTGACTGGGGGGCAGAGTACGTTTTAGAACCGAGCTGACCCTGAATCGATATAATGCACTAAAATGTGCAGTCTATCAAGCGAAATATATCAATAGCTTTACAAGATTGTATAGAAAACTTGATTCTACATACGAAAGAGATTGCAACTATAATATCAACGTATTACAACGTAATTAAATATCAATAATAAACATCTTGACCTGCAGTAAACAGCCAAAATAGGTCGTTTTCCTGACGATTTTGCTACTGATAAATGCAAGAAAAGGCAACAAAGATACTTAATAGTTAGGTATAAAGGAGATTAAGTGTTCGTTTAATAAAACTTACAACTCTTTTAAACACCTGGGACTTCCTATTCGATAGCAAAACTTCTCAATCTTTCTCGGAATAACTAGCCAAGATGGCGATGGCGGGAAAATGACGCCAGAGGGAAAATAGTTCGTATTCAAACGATCAGACTAAAATTTTTTTCTCTGACATTCACACTTTTTAAGCATTTTAAGCATGAAAGTTATCTTAAATTGAAATCGTGTTTCTTTTTTTCCTGAATTATTGTATTCAATGATAGTTAATTTATGACTTAATAAAATTGGCACTAAATTAATGCACGTACTTTGGCTCTCATGCATCAAGAACCAGAAGGTAGAAAAATAAACTGGTTCTCTTTAAATTTTTATCGACTGCTGGCGTAGTAATATTCAAATCGCGTAAAGAAATGATTTATGTAAATTTGTAATAAAATGATTTAAAGTTTAGTAATAAAATGACCAGTCAATTTTAAAATAGATAAGGTTTAATGATTATCTGAAAATTATGGCAAAATATTGGAACTATTTTTGCTCAGTGCATCTAGATAGCCTAGATGCGTTCAAAATGTCGTAAACTGAATTTATCGTAATTACACTGGGGGCTTGCGCCCCCAAAAGGAAACTAGTTAAATTGATATCCCCTCGCCGCATGATTCTTATCACTTGACTTAAGTTCCTTTGTAGTATGTACCTCAGATATTGATGAAGATAATTTATTATCCTTACCCATGATACAAAACCTCCAACAAAATGTCAGTGGAAGATGGATTGTTATTTCACTAGTGATCATAAAAATCAATATTTTCACTCGTGGCTACTGCTGCCACGAGTGAAAATATTGATTTATATGATCATCAGTGAAATAAAAAATGATCTTTCACTGAATTGAACAAATTTGCTGTTTCTTTTATGCGTTTATGGATGATATTTTTTGGGTTTTTTTTCATTGTTCTTCCACGATTATTATTTCACAGTACAACGTCATATTTCACTTAAATCAAGCCAATAGTTTTTCAGGAAATAGCTCTCCGAAACGAAAATAACTTCATATTATTGTTTAACTAATCAGGGGTAATAACTCTGTGTTTAATGGTCGAACCCGGTAACATCAATGATATTCTCATCTTCCTTGATAAAAAAGTTTCATTGAAATCTAGCCATTAATTTTCAAGAACTAGCACGACGCACAATGGGACGCATTACACGGACAACGCACTTTCACGGTATTTTATCGGTTTCGCGATCGATAAACAATCTACCTGCGATCTTACTTTGTGATATTAACTGTGAAATGTGCAAAAAAATTACCCGATTGACAATATTTTAAACAATCGCTTTTTATTTTTCTTAAAACACGTGACGAATTCGTTTTCTGCCTTTCGGGGCGGGGGGGATGGGTTGGTAAAGTTGCTGAGCGCGAATAATTTCACAAAATATGTGCCCCAAATTCGTACGAACTTAGACACAACCTGTTAGGAATTCGAGCGAATTTTTTCACACTGTGTGACGAATTCGTTTGTTGTGAATATATGAGTTCAACACAGCTTAGTACAAAGAAACAGCATGGCTCTTTTACTTTAAGTATATGACCATCCTTTAAAGTTTGAAGGTTGTGGATCAAATGATTACGTATTGAATGTTTTTCACATTAAAGGCCAATTATACCTCAGAATGCTATTATTTTTATTCATCAAAACTTTTTATTGTTGGTGAAAAAGGTTACCCGGTGGCCTATTACCTTAATCAAATTTTTCATCTTGTGCTTTTTGTCAATAAGTACAGTTATATTTTTGTATGGAAGACAAATTACTACTATGTTTGCATTTTGCTCCTCATATGAAAAATAACCTCAAATTTATCGCAACTTTCTGCATGTAAACAAGCATCGAAACATACTTTAAAAACCATTTTAATTTAACATATAGAACTTCAAGTTTGATCTTTCATAAGAAGTGAAAATTAATATCTGAAACAAAATGTGGCTTTAAATTCCACATTAAAGAGACCTTGACCTGTAGATACTGACGCTTAGAAACAAGAAGGATCTTCTTAATAATCCTGTTAAGAATTTCTAATGGCTATGGGTCTAAATGGTTTCACAAAGTTGATGAGCGGAGTCGGTTTTCATAATCAAGGTAACTGTAATATTATGTGTCCTATACTTAAATATAGTTGATAATCCTAGACAGTCTTAAGGATGATCGCAATGTTGAACAGAAACGAAGAGGTCAAAGCGTCGATCGACCGACAATTGCAAGCAAACTATACCATTTTGTCTTCAAAATGGGCATGATAAATAATCTTGTTAATGTTGACATCCTTATAAAAATGACATCAGAAGTATCCTTACCCTGTACAAAAATGAATCCTTTCCTGCCACCATCCACATTGGGGTGTCAGGAATCGTAAACTTGACCTGCAAGGTCATTTGCATAAGGGTCAAGGTCATCATTGCCTGTCGCTGTTTCTTGCAGTCATACAGTTTTTAGAGCTTTTAAGTAAACAAAAATGAATAAATTTATTATATTCTTGTAAAGCAATTTGTTAGATATTGAAAATAAAATACGGTTTTTATTTCCCGTATTTCTCAATGCAGAGAAAACATATTTTTTCGTATTTTTAACTGATGTCTTGCCTGACTACTTTTCTTCTTAATTCAGCCAATACACAAAATTTATAGGACGTATTTCAAATTGAAATAATGTATCCACAAGACATGGTGCCGCCCAAACTTCCACTGTTGTTAATCTACTGACTATAGGTCCAAATATATTTTGGGCTACACGCGACCGTAAGTTAGAAACTGAAAATATTTTACTAAGTCAAAACAAAAAACTCTACAAACACTTGAATAAATTCACAAGCACACCCCAAGGTGCATTAATCTAACACATGCTGACCGGACATTCTTGGAAACTTATCAAGACACCGATCAAATACCATTTGGGAACAAGGGGGAAAAATGTTGGAGATATAGGGAAATTTTTCACTTAAGATTCTTTAAGGAATAACGGCCTGAGGTGCCCATAACTTCAACAATGCTGAATCAGGTTCATGGAAACTCTAGGTCATTTTGAGCTACGCGTGACACAAAATTGAAAATTGCAATTTTTAAACATTAGTTAAGGGCATAACTCTTACAAATTACCTGACCTAACTCCTACAGGCAAATCCCCTAGGGTGCAACATCTACACAATGCCCTGACCCCAAAAAAAGACCCTATGTTTAAAAAAACTTTTGGGAGCTTATCGCCCACGACACAAAAATTGAAAAATTGAATTTTTTACTAAGTCAATAACATAATTATTCCACAAGTGAAACACCAGGTGCACAACTTTGCATTTTGAGCAACATTTCTGTAAAAGTTCATGTTCGGAGGTCAAATATTTTTTGAGCTACGTGCGACACAAGTTGAAAATTGCAATTTTTGTATAACTCTACAAATACTAAATAAATACACATGCAAACACTCAGGTGCACACAACTACACATGCTTACCAATATTCCTGTAAAGTTTCATGACTGTAAGTCAAATACTTTTTGAGCTACGTGCGACACAACATAAAAACGGACGTACGTACGTCCCCATGAACTTAAGTGACATTATGGGATAGACATCCAAGTTCATTCCCGTACAGACTTGTTTTTGTGGAGAAAAAGGGGTTGCCTATGGGGTGCAAATACCCGTTTGCTTGAAGGTTTTGTAGAATAAACAAGATCCAATAAAAACAAGGCAATCCCCGTAAGCGGAGCAAATTAATATGCCCGAAAATGTGTTTTTTAAGCTAAGGATGAAGCATTTGTAAGACATGGGAATTAAATAAAGTATTACCTCCTTCAAATAGCAATCCTCCAATGAAATAAGAATATTGTGGGCCAAATGAAACCTTAGTTATGCTCAAGAAACTTTTTTCAGTTTAAAGGTAATAGTGACCCTGACTTTTCACCTTGTGAACCCAAAATCAATAGGGGTCTTCTGCCCAATACGGAAAATCATCATATGAAGTTTGATCATTGTGGGCCAAATGGAGCTATTTGGAGTTATTTTCAGTTTTGAAGTTAAAATGACCTTGATCTTTGACCTTGTGACCCAAAAATCAATAGGGGCTTTTTTTCAAATATAGACAAATATCATCCTATGAAGTTTGAGCACTGTGTGCCAAATTAAACTTTAGATATATTCCGGAAACTATTTTTAAGTTTTTAGGTAATAGTGACCTTGACCTTTGACCTTGTGACCCCAAAATCAATAGACGTTGTTTACCTAATATGAACAATCAACCTATGAACCTTGAACACTGTGGGTCAAATGGAACTTAAGTTATGCTCCGGAAACTGTTTTCAGTTTTAAAGGAATATTGACCTTGACCTTTGACCTGGTGACCCCAAATTAATAGGGGTCTTTTAACCAATTTGAACAATCATGATATGAAGGTTGAATATTGTGGGCCAAATGGAACTTAAGTTATTCTCCAGAATTGCTAATTGACGGATGGACGGACGGACGCCAGGGTGTATAACATAATATGCCCGAAATTCTTTCGGACATATAAAAAAAACCAAAAATATCAACTCAGAAAGAATTTCCGGATTGAAGGGACAGACTGACAAAGGTATATCTAAATGCCCTCTATGGTGGGGACTCAAAAAAGATTAAAAAATCATTTATATCATGCTTTTGGTAGTTTATAGAATAAATAAGTGCAATAAAAATATTATTTCACTGTTTGAAACAGTGAAATTATCAATTTTGAATTAAAGCCCGTTAAGTTGTTTCAGTGAAATACCAGCGTGCATAGTACTGGAAACAAGCTTACTGACGTAACGTCGTAAATGACGTCACGTTGTATCATTATTTGCCGAACTTTTCATTTAGCATGATGTTAAAACGTCTTTTTAATCGTTATTTTGCACATAATAAAAAGAAAATTTGTTTAATATAGCCTAAGATCGAAATATATGTCACCTCGTGAACATCAAAAGTTCATATTTCACTCGTGGCTGCGCCACTCGTGAAATATATTTTTTGGTGTTCACTCGGTGAAATATATTCCGATCTTACACAAACTAAACAAATATCCTCTACATAATAAACAGAAAATCCAAGTCATTTTTTATCAATACAGATTTGTTTTCATTTTGTGCTAACTCATGATATATTTTTGTCATACTACTCGATGAAATTTAATCATGTATTTATAGAAAAAAAAACTTGAATATTCTACATAGAACATATCTTCATTTCAATCTTTTGACTGTAAAAAATAACAATTTATTGGCCTCAAGGCCGAATACTATAAGGATCTTACACCGACTAACGGTAAAGACCGGAATATTTAGCTCGAGGCGGTAACGAGGCTCGGCCTAAATTCCGCTAAACAGCCACCCTAGAGCTAGATATTCCTGTCTGTGACGACAGCCTGTGTTTGCTTCTTTTTCTTGCATATTACATATCAATTATTTCAGAACAGAAATTACGAAAACTGATATTCTCATTACGCACTTTTTTCTTATAGTACCGTATGAGCTTACAAAATTCAAACCGGTAAAATGACCTCATCCTAAGAACGAAATTCATTAATAAAAGGCGCACGACAATGGCGTCATTTTAAGCAGGCGACTGGTCTTACATGAGGGTGTAATACAGGTGCAAAGGGTAGATGATCCTGTCTGATATGCAAGAAGTAATAACGTTTGCGTTCGGCAAACCTGACAGGGCGTTGTAACTATAATTAGTCTACTTAAACGAGAACGGTGATCCCATTGTTTTTTCGCTTAAAATGTTTCTTTTATCATATTCTAACAACATGCAAAGTTCAAAGAAATTCTATTGAACAGTTTCTTTTTTGCCTATTTGTCTACAGATATAAAAACTTCCGAAAACGTACTTAAGTTCATTCTTTAAGGTGAAAAGGCGAGATATCAACATTTAATAATTCAAGCGTCTTGTCCGGTATATACCGGAATACGGTATTTAGTGTGGTACTCCAATCCTTTTAAGTCTCACTCAAATCAAACAGCGAAATATACGAAAATTGGCACCGAAAGTAATCGATTGAAAAAAATCAAAATGATCTTCCTTATTTTGTCTTCTTAGAATCGAAATGATATCGATCTGAATGGTGTTTATCGGCTATAATGTCGTTTTGATGCGAAAAAAGTAACCACTCAGGACTACGGCCTTCGTGCATTAAAACTACAAACCGGTGTTAAATTAAGAATTCTAACACAACCCGCATTTTTCCATATTGAATATAGAACAGAAAGTGTGTGTTATTATGCAATTATTAAAAACCACTGTTGACGTTTTATATTTAGACATGTGACGTAATCATTATATGCATGTGACGCGGAGTACGGAAACAATCAGGCACAATTTAGCTTTATATCAGTTAAGGCAGCATTTATTTGTTGATCTCGTGTTAGAATCGAAATAATATATTCAAATCGGTGAATTTATTGCTTGAAAAAAATCACAATTTGTCGTTCGGATGCGCATCATTATGTCACTCGGGCTACGTCCTCAAGATATAATTACTCGCATCCAAACTCCAAACAGTGATTTTCTTGCGCAATACAATCACTGCTTGTGATATATTATTTCTTAAATTGAAGTTTCAGAAGCTTTTGCTCTTTTTAAAAACACACAGAGGATATTTGAGAAATAACATCGACCGGAGAGGTGTAAATCGGCTATTTAACATCGGTTTGGAGTTTTGATGCGTAGGAATTGACCACGAAGGCCGTAGGCCTGAGTGGTTAATTTTGTCGCATCAAAACGACAAAACCGGTGTTAAATAGCCGACATACACCTCTCCGGCCGATGTAATTTCGATTCTAATACGATAAAATAAGGAAAATCACTAATGTTATTTTTCAAGCGGAAATAACTTCCGGTGCCGATTTTCGTATAACGCTGTTCGATTTTCGCACCCTACTGTTGCGAAGATATAGAAATTATCAAACAAAAGAAACAATAAGAAAAAGACGTTATTTTATCAAGTTTTGAACAATAAAAACTTCCGTCGTATTGTGTTTACATCAGTATCCCATTAATCATTCTTGTATGTATGAAATAACGTCAGCTTGTTAAGGATGACGTCATTACGCTGCTTACGGATTGGCGCCGTTTTATCAAAATATTTATTAACTGATATGGATCAAATATGTGGCGTTAGTGTATGTGAGATATTATTTAGGTATTGTATGAAAAGGAAACATTATACAAACTGAAAATATAAATAAAAATGTTTTTTTATTTTTGCTTTAAAATGCCTTGTAAACTATACACTCGAGGGTGAAAATATAACAGCGCATATACAAGTAGTCCCGAACCGGTGTTTATTGGTGGTTTTTTTTTCCTTCTTTGTCTATAGTGACAAAATCACGTGAGTGTTGGAATTGTTTGTTTTGCAAATAAGATTAAAATATATTTCACTGGTTGAACACCAGATGCAATATTTTCAAGAGTGAAAATATTATAGCTGGTG